AAATTTAATTTGTGTATTACACAGGCCTCGAGTAAAGTTAACAGAAATAAACACTAAATGTCGAAAAAATACATACAGACACAAACACACACACGCATATATATACGTATATATGTATGCATATAATCATTTATACATATACATATATATAATCATATACATGTACATACACACACACATATATATATACATATATATGTGTGTGTGTGGGTATAGGTATGTGTACATATGTATATAAATGTATACATGTACGTATATATATATATATATATATATATATATATATGGATATATATATACATACATACATACACATAAACATATATATATATATATATATATATATATATATATATATATACATATATATAAGCATATATATATACTTATAAATACAGCACGGATATATATAAATATATCATATATATATTCATGCATAAATAGATAAGTAGATGAATAAATAAATCATATTTATATATGTATATATTTGTGTGTGTATGTATGTATATGTATATGTATACAAATACATACACATATATATAAACATATATATACTTATATATATACAAATGAATAAATGAATATCAATATGTGTACATATATCTACACACACACATATATATATTTATGTAAATATATATATGTGTGTGTGTGTGGGTATAGGTATGTGTATATATGTATATATATGTATACATGTACGTATATATATATGATATATATATACATACATACATACACATATATATAAATATATATATACATATATATCCATATATATAAGCAAATATATATACTTATAAATATAGCACGGATATATATACTTATAAATATATCACATATATATACTTATATATAAATATATAAATTATGTATATATATATATATGTATATATTTGTGTGTGTATATGTATGTATATGTATATATGTATATATATACATACATATCCATACATATAAACATATATATATATACTTATATATACAAATAAATAAAAATATGTGTGCATATATGTGCATACACACATATATATTTATGTAAATATATATATATATATGTGTGTGTTTGTGTAAATATATATATATGTGTGTGTGTGTAAATATATATATATATATGTATGTATGTGTGTGTGAACATACATATATGTACAACCTACACATACTGTACATATTCATTTGCACATTATAGAGCCCAGCCCACTACAGGCTGACGCACAGGGTCGTGGTGGAGATGTAGCAAGGGCGGTTGGCCAGACAGCCTGTCGACCTGATGTAGGCGCAGAGGTCCGTTGCCGAGTCAGGCTCACCCGAACACCAGAAATTCGGGTACGAAGGCTTCCCGTCGAAGTCTGTCCAGATTCCGTCCTCGTTGAAGTCTGTTAAGTCTGGCATGGAAAGGAAAGGGAGGAATCGGTGGTCAGTATGCACACACAGTATATGAATAGGAAATCGCATGTTCAGAAAAGATAAAATGTGAATTGCATTATAAAGTTGTGTTTTATTTCGCATTTGTGTATTGCAAATTTCCACTGGTAGTGAAACGATGAAGGTGACTATGCTTTTAATTAAGGTCTATAGTAGTGATAATGAATGATAAAAAATGGCGCCACTGCGATGGCCGGGAATCGAACCCGGGTCAACTGCTTGGAAGGCAGCTATGCTCACCACTATACCACCATCGCTTCACAATCAATTAATGTTTCAAGATATACATAATTTTACATGTAGGTGTGTCTGTCTGTGTGAATGAGTAAGAGAGAGGGAGAGAGAGTGAGAGTAAGAGAGAGAGAGCCCACTACAGGCTGACGCACAGGGTCGTGGTGATGTAGCAAGGCCGGTTGGCCAGGCAGCCCGTCGACCTGATGTAGGCGCACAGGTCCGTTGCCGGGTCAGGCTCACCCGAACACCAGAAATTCGGGTACGAAGGCTCCCCGTCGAAGTCTGTCCAGATTCCGTCCACGTTGAAGTCTGTTAGCTCTGGCATGGAAAGGAAAGGGGGAATCGGTGGTCATAATGCACACACAGTATATGAATAGGAAATCGCATGTTCATGTGAAACATTAGAAATCGATAAAATGCGTTTTCTCTGCTTGAGGTGACTTGCATTGTAAAGTTGTGTTTTGTTTCGCATTTGTGTATTGCAAATTTCCACCGGTAGTGAAACGATGAAGGTGACTATGCTTTTAATTAAGGTCTATAATATTGATAGTGAATGATAAAAAATGGCGCCACTGCGATGGCCGGGAATCGAACCCGGGTCAACTGCTTGGAAGGCAGCTATGCTCACCACTATACCACCATCGCTCCTCAAATAAGGAGAATTTATTGAAATTTTAATCTCTATCTATCTATCTTCCTCTCTACCCCTCTCCCTCCTTTCCTCACTCCCTTTCTCTCTCTCAGGCAGACGGACGCTCATACATACTTCATCATATGATACTAGTATCATATGATTTAAATAACAGACTTTGAGATTATGTAATCGAAGTACTTTAGTAGAACAATTCACATACCCATGCATCTGCTACTATCCTTTAACGTATTATTTTCAGAACCTCCCCTACACAGCAATGTAAATTTAAAGAAACACGAATAAAGGACAAATCCACAATCGGTTTCTAAAAGTGCATCTTCCATATCACCATACCCTGATACAGTCACCACCATTTACTCGTTCTCACCAAATGAAAATAAGTCTAGAACGATAAATTGATTCATTTATTCATTTCATTTATATTTCATTTATGGCGGTGGTTATTACCTAAACTCCTTACCCGTCCAGATGCTTCC